GCATTTTTTCATATGACTATAGATAGTTTGATTTCTTCTGAAAACTGCCTATTCATATTCTTTGACCATTTATCAATTGGGGAATGAATTAGATTCTTATAAATTTGACTCAGTTCTCTATATATTTGAGAAATGAGGCCTTTGTCAGAGAAACATGCTGTACGTTTTTTTTCCACAGTTATGATTACTGTGTATTTTCCTCCATCCTATTTCCCCCCTCCTCTTTTCCCCTTTCACTCTGCCCCTCCTAAAAATTGTTTTGCTTCTGACCACCATTTCCCGTAATCCCCTCTTCCTTCTATCAGCTCCCTTCCTTCTCTTATCCTCTTTCCCTCCTTCTTCCCTGTAGGGCAAAACAGACTTCTATACTCAACTGAGTTATTCCCTCTTTGAGCCAATTCCAATGAGAGTAAAGTTCAAAAGTTATCTACAACCCCACCCCTATCTTTCCTTCCACTGTAAAAGCTCTTTTGGTCCTCTTTTATGTGAGATAATTTACCCCTTTCTATCTTTCCCTTCCCTCAGTGCATCCTTCTTTTTCACCCCTTAATTTAATTTTTTTAGATATCATCCCATCATAGTTAATTTACACTTGTGCCCTCTGTCTAACTGCCCTAATAATGATTAAGTTCTTAGGAGTTATAAGTATCACCTTCCCATGTGTAAATGTAAACAGTTTAACCTTTTTGAATTCCTTATGATTTCTCTTTCTTGTTGACCTTTTTATGCTTCTCTCAAGTCTTATATTTGAAAATCAAATTTTCTATTTAGCTCTGGTCTTTTAATCAGGAATACTTGAAAGTCCTCTATTTCTTTAAATATCCATTTTTTTCCCCCTGAAAGATTATACTCAGTTTTTCTGGGTAAGTGATTCTTGGTTATAATCCTGGTTCCCTTGACCTCTAGAATATCATATTCCAAGCCCTCTAATCCTTTAATGTAGAAGCTGCTAAATCTTGTTTTTTTATGACCATGACTCCACAAATTTGAATTGTTTCTTTCTGGCTGCTATCAGTATTTTCTTCTTGACCTGGAAGCACTGGAATTTAACTATAATATTCCTGTGAGTTTTCATTTAGGGATCTCTTTCAGGAGGTGATCAGTGAATTCTTTAAATCTCTATCTTACCCTCTGGTTCTACGATATCAGGGCAGTTTTCCTTGATAATTTCTTGAAATATGATGTCTGGGCTCCTTTTTTGGTCATGGCTTCCAGGTAGTCTGATGATTGTTAAAGTAGATCTTCTGGATCTATTTTCCAGGTCAGTTGTTTTTTCAATGAGATATTTCACATTTTCTTCTAATTTTTTTCATACTTTTGATGTTGTTTTATTGTTTCTTAATGTCTCATGCAGTCATTAGCTCCCAATTCTAATTTTTTTATTAATTTATTTTGATTTATCAATAATCACTTCCACATACTTTTGAGTTTAAAATTTTTCTCCCCCTTCCTCCCCACCACCCTCCCCAAAATGGCACACAATCTGATATAGGCTATACATTTACATTCATATTAAACATATTTTCACATTAGTGATGTTGTAAGTAAAAATTAAAACCAATAGGATTAACCATCAGAAAGAGGAAACAAAACTCAGAAGAGGAAAAAAAAATAGTAATTCAACTTCCATAGTTCTTTCTTTGGATGTGGATAGCATTTTCTATCACAAGGCCTCTGGAGATGTCTTAGATCCTTGTATTGCTGGGAAGGGTTAAGTTTAGCAATATTAGTCATCACAGAACATGGCTGTTATTCTGTACAGTGTTCTCTTGGTTCTGCTCACTTCACTCAGCATCAGACCACACAAGTCTTGCCAGGTTTTTCTGAAGTCAGCCTGTTCATCATTTCTTATAGCACAATAGTATTCCATCACATTCATATATCACAACTTGCTCAGCCATTCCCCAGCTGATGGGCATCCTCTCAATTTCCAGTTCTTTGCCACCACAAAAAGAGCTGCTATGAATATTTTTGTACATGTGGGTCCTTTTCCCATTTGTATGATCTCTTTGGGCCAATTTTAATTTTTAAGGAACTATTTTCTTCAGTGAGCTTTTGTACCTCCTTTTCCATGTGACCAATTTTGCTTTTTAAGGAGTTCTTCCCTTCAGTGGATTTTTGTGCCTCTTTTCCATTTGCCTATTCTGTTTTCTTAAGTTGTTATTTTCTTCAGTATTTTTTTTGCCTCCTTTACCAAGCTGTTGATTCTTTTTTCATGATTTTCTTGCATCATTCTCATTTCTTTTGTTAATTTTTCCTCTCCCTCTCTTATTGATTTTTTAAATCCTTGTTGAGCTCTTCCAGGAATTCTTTGTTGGCCTGAGACCAATTCATATTTTTCTTTGAGGCTTTCGATTTGGCTGTTTTGATATCATTGTCTTCTTCTGAGTTTGTGTTTTGATCTTCCCTGTTACCACAGTAACTTTCTATGGTCAGGTTCTTTTGTTTGTTCATTTTTCTAGCCTATTTCTTGACTTTTTACTTGAAGTTAAAGTTGGGCTCTGTTCCCAGGGTGGAGGGGACACCACTCCAAGCTTCAGGTTTTTTATGCTGCTGTCTTCAGAGCTAATTCTGGGGTTCTATAAGGTTTCAGTTCTTCCAAGGTTGTTTGATCTAAGGAGATGTGTGGTTACCGCTCTCCTGGCCTGTACTCTGGTCTGTGAGCAACCACAAGCATTCTTTTCCACTCTGGAACTATGACCAGTATACCAGTGCTCCTCCTCATCCTGCAACCACAACCCAGAATCATATACGGTCAATAGAACAGACACCTCCACCCGGTACAAGCAAAGGGTCCCCTGTAATCTACTTCTGACCAGTTGTCTGACCCCCTTACCATCTGTGAACTGAGAGTTCTGGGAGCTACTGCCGATTCAGTCACCCCTAAGGCCTGCTCTGGATTATGCTTTACTCTCATCTCAGGGAGACAGACCCTTCCTGCCAACCTCTTAAGTTGTCTTGGGCTGGAAAATTGTTTCGCCTCATCCTTTTGTTGGTTCTGCCATGCCAGGATTTGTTTGAGGAGAGCTCAGGTCGATCCCTGGGTCTTGACTCCGCCATCTTGGTTCTGCCTCCAGGATATTGTTTTAAAATGCATAAAATAAAACAGAGGACAAGGAAACCAATTACATTGAAATATAGTTATCACTGACATTTTTTTTTTAAATTCATGCAACTTCTTGAAATTTATCCCCAGGTTAAAAACCCCTGCCGCAGTACCTAGAAGGTGCCTGACAGTTAATCAATATTTCTTGACAAAATGAATGAATCTGAAGTCTTGGGACCAGGACAAATGAGAGAATAGGTCTACAAATACTCTGAAAATCAGGAGGGATTATTACTATGACTAATAAAAGCTGTGACTATTTCCAAGGTGTTCTGCTTTGCCTTCATTCTAACCATTAAATCAGACCAAATGGTGCCCCAGGGCCTTTTATTACCTTAAGGTTCCTGCAGGGGCCATCATACCTTCATCTGTGCCTTGTGTCATCCTCAGGATTAGACAGGAGATAATGGCAACTCTGCCACAGCCTAGATCCCTGGGGAGCTCAGAGCTATTGACTTCAGAGGCCAGCTCAGAAGATTTAAAGCTAAAAGGGACCTTGGAGATCATCTAGTCCAACCCCTCTTATTTCACAGATCCAACAAAACATTTGAGTTCAAAATTTATTAAGCACCTACTGCATAAAGTTCTGTGCTAAGCATCAGTAATACAAAGATGAAAACAAAATAGTTTAAAATTTTGCAGATGAGGAAACTGAAGCCAAAAGGTCAAGTGAATTAACCAGGGTCATTTGAACCAGGAATTATCATTATTATTATTATGAATAACTGACATTTATATAGCACTTACTATGTGCCAGGCACTGTGCTAAGCACTTTACAATTATTATGTCACTTGACACTCACAACCTTAAAAGGTAGATGCTACTTTTATCCCCATTTTACAGGTAAGAAAACTGAGGCAAACAGATTTTTAAGTGACTTGCTCAGGGTCACACAGCTAGGCAGTGTCTGAGGATGGATTTGAACTCAGGTCTTCCTGACTCTAGGCATAGAGCTCTATCCGCTTAGCCACCTTGTTGCCCAAGCAGAGCCAGGGTTAGGACATATGTCTTCAGACTTCAAACCTAGCATTTTTTTCTATTTCACTTTATTGCCTCCTTTAGGGTTCTCAGTGGCAGCTTGGGCTGATGTTCTATGACTCCATAGTGCGTGGACAATCCTGCCTTTACTTATTGTGAGAGGGTAGGGGCATGGAGGAAAATAGAAAATGATTTTTCAGTATTAGGGATATTATGATCAGTTCTAGAATTGAACTTCATTCTGAAGAGACCCTACTGAAAACCAAGGGAATTGTTGGGGAGGGGCAGCCAAGGGTAATTACCTCTTAGGATCACTTGGTGCCAGAGGTCTTCCTCAGTTCCCTAGTGGTAGTACCAGGCAGGACATTTCAGAGGCTGCTGTGGCCTCCTCCTTTTCTTTCCTCTCCTCTTCATCTGTCTGTCCTGACACTGAGCAGTCTTCAGATATTTGACAAGAAAAAGGCCCACACTCTTAGGGAGTGGGGAGTGGTATGGTGGAGTACAGAGACATTGGATTGGGAGTCAGGAGAGATTTATGTTCAAATCCTGCCTGTGACACTTATTAGCTCCGTGACCTTGGACAAATTGATTGCTTAGCCCCTCTGAATCCCGATTTTCTTGTCTGCGAAAGGAAGGTCATATTCTCTATAGTCCCTGTTTCACAGGGTTGCTGTGAGGCACTGGTGAGGTCATACATGTAAAGTGCCTTGCTCAGTCCAGTGGAATGAGCACTGGCTATAGAGTCAGGGGACCTGGGTTCAAATTCTGCCTCTGTTGCTTACTCAATGTGATCATCAATTTCTTGTGCCCCCCAGTTTGATCTGCCTTGTCCCAGGAAAGTTCAGCAGGCTTCCCTTCAGCCTTCCCATCTACCCTCTCTGATCCCTTTGGCCTCCCCTCCCCTTCTTCTTGCAGCATGGGCCTCCTACATGACGAACTCCCCGACACTTATTGTAATGATTGGCCTGCCAGCCCGGGGCAAGACCTATGTATCCAAGAAACTCACCCGCTACCTCAACTGGATTGGGGTCCCCACCAAAGGTAGGTGCAGTTTAGTCTGTAGGGGCAGTAGCCTGGAGAGGGGGAGGGATAGAGAGGAATTGGGCTCTTGGACCCCCTTGGTCCTTTGCTTAGGGAGCTTAGGGGTCCCTGGGGCTTGGGAATTCAGTTTCCATGCTCCCACATTTCTGTAGCAGTCAGTACTAGTGTTCCACAAGTCTGGCAGCTCAATGTCCTTCCCTGCCCCTCAGCAAATTTTTGGCTATTTTCTGGAGTGGTCGACTGGGGTGAAGGGTGGGGAGGGGGGAACATCTCTGTTCCCAGCCTTGGAACAGACTGGGGAGGGCAGTGGTGGGAGTTAGTGGGGCAGGCTGGGCTAATATTTCTAGTCCTGGTCTTCAATTTGGAATAGATTAGCCTGGTCTAGGGAATGACTGATTTCTAACCCATTGACATTGGGGCTATTATGGCATTTAGGGGCTAAAGGGTAGGGATTTTTTCCACAGTTTTTAATCTCGGGGTATATCGACGTGAAGCAGTCAAATCATATAAATCCTACGACTTCTTCCGGCATGACAACGAAGAGGCCATGAAGATCCGAAAGTAAGTCCCCCTCCATGAGGCACAGGCATGGGCAAGACACGACCACAGAGAGGAATGGGCAGGGCAGGTGTTGGCTTTCCTTTTAGACAGTAGATCCTGGGGATTTCCCAAAGAAATTTATCCAACTGGGCACCCATAGGCTCTGAGGACAAAGAGTGAGGCTAAAGAAGCCTCCAACATTAAAATCTAATCATCCCTGCCTTCTTGATAGCAGGCCCCAAAGAGAGGCGCTTGAGATTGTTCTGGAGGGGAGGGTGCAAAAGGTCTTAGGGGGGACCTAAGAATGTGAATCTGGGGACAGACTGAAAAAGTGAGGAGAATGGAGTGAGCAGCGATGTGTCTCTTAACTGATCCAATTTTGCCATTTCTCCTATTGTCATTGTATAATCTTCTAGGACACCTGCCTCACTCATTCTCTCTTTTTACAGACAATGTGCTCTGGTGGCGCTACAAGATGTTAAAGCGTATTTCACATATGAGTGTGGTCAGATTGCGGTAAGCATTGCCTGTCCTCTTCCACCCTCCTCCCCACTCTGCTCATCTCTCCCCTCTTCAACTCCATCTTGAGTTTCCATTCAGGTAACAGGTATACCCTTTCCATACTATCCTTTGCCCCCTCCAACTCACACCCTGTGCTTTCTTCCCCAGGTATTTGATGCTACCAATACCACCCGGGAAAGAAGAGACCTGATCTTGAACTTTGCCAAGGAGAATGCCTTCAAGGTTGGGTCTGGCTCATGATACCAGGGTGGTGGGGCTGGAGAGTGGTTGAAGAAGGAATTAGATGTTTAGGACTCTTCCCTTGGGTTTGGTCCCCAATCCTTTTGTTTAGGTTCTTTTCTCAGACCCATGGCCTTTGTGCCTGAGGCACTGGGAATGTGATAAAATGTATACATACACACATACATACATACATACACACATACATACACACATACATACACGTGTGTGTGTGTGCGATTCTTGAAGGCCATTCTCTCCAAGAGATGCATAGAGAAGAAAACATGTCACTAGTCAATAGTCCTTTCACACTGCTCACCACTTTGCCATCACCCTTCTCAGGTGTTCTTCGTGGAATCTGTCTGCGATGATCCTGATGTGATTGCAGCCAACATTCTGGTGGGTAACTCTCCATTTCCATGGCTACATCCAATCCTTTAGGGGTGTATGAGCCTTTCTGGTTAATGATGAGAAAGAACCAAGACTTAACACTGAAAGTAATCACTGCTCATGAGTTTCCAGCTTTGAGTAATATCATTCTGTCCCTCCTCACTAACTTCCCCTGGGGATCAGGGACAAGTTTGGGTAGAAGGAAAAAACATAGAAGAGGAAACTGACATGCAGAGCTAGAAAGAGACATGGCCTGGGGGCCAAAGCAAGGCAGCCTTAAAGTCTGAAATCCTGGCTCAAAGGTGTGAGTCATGACTGGAGGTTCAGACTCAGGCATTTCTCCTGGAAGGGATCAAATCTAGGAATGCCATCTGCCACGTCATTGTTTTGTCCCTGTATTTAGGCTCGTGTGTATGATAAGCCTGATTCCCTGTGGGGTGAAGGGACTATTGATACAGGGACATAAAGGAAGTGGGGCAGGCTTGACAGGAAGACTGTGGTTCAAATCCCACCTCAGACACTTACTGACTGTGTTACTTTGTGAAAGTCTCTTCACCTCTGTAAACCTAATAATAAGTAGGTACTTCTTTATCCGTAAAATGGGGATAATAATAGTACCTACTTCACAAGGTGGTTGTGAGGGTCAGATGAAATCCTGTATTTCAAATGCTTTGTAGACTTTTAAAAGTGTCACTATCGTAATTAATTATGTAATCATTAGTAATAATAATCATTATTGTTACTGTTAGTCAAGTAAGAGAAAAATCCCTGGAGTTCCCCGCCTCCTCTTTTTTTCCCAGCACATCTTACTTTTCCCAGGAAAAGGCCCAGGAAGAGCTTCAGCAAAGTTACATTTCTGACTGTCCCCAAGCTCGTGGCAATCATGTGACTCTGCCTAGTCATTGCTCTCCATCCCATTGCCAGAGTTAGGGGAGATGAGTTGGGAGTGGGAGCGGAAGTCAAGGGAATTATTGGCCCTGATGAGAGGCTGGCTTAGGCTTGTCGGCAGAGGCAGGTGGGGGAAAGGGAGGCTAATGGAGGGAGAGGATCGGGAGGGGGCTTGTGTCGTGACTGGGTCTCAGCTAGTTTCATCCTTCCAGGAAGTGAAGGTCTCAAGCCCGGACTACCCAGAGAGGGACAGGGAAAATGTGATGGAGGACTTCCTGAAGAGAATCGAGTGTTACAAAGTCACCTATCGGCCCCTTGACCCTGACCACTATGACAAGTGAGGCTCGAGTCCTTGGCCTTAACACAGTTGTTTTGGGGTTTTGGGGGGATGGAGTCAGGATACTGTGGTAAGGGGTGCATAGGATCACACCCTTCTCCAGTTCTTCTAGCAAATTTGGACCTCCTGTGGTCCTAGGATTCCATAATTTCTCACCTATAGTATACATATTATTTGAGAGGGCAAAGAGATATTGAAGCTCAGTGGCTTATATATGAGGTAAGTGTTGAAGGGTTTTCGGTAGCTAATCCTCCATTCCCTAGATAGTGTGTCATTATAGCTTTCGCTTGGAAGAGAGGAAGTTGGGGGGGGGAGAAGGGAAGGGGTATAAGTATTTATTACTATGTGCCAGGCACTCTGTTAAATGTTTTACAAATATTATTTAGTTCTCACAACAGCCCTGTAAGGTCCTAAGGCTAATTTTATCCCCATTATACAATTGAGAAAGCTGAGGCAGATAGAGGTTAAGTGACTTACCTAGGGTCACACAGCTAATAAGTGTCGGAGGCTGAATTTGAACTTGGTCTTTCTGACTCCAGGTCCAGCACTCTATGCACTATGGTGCCACTTAGGGCCTTTCTTTGATAGTACAGTTCAAATCCTGACTGACAGGTACAACCACCTGTGTGTCTTTAGGCCAGTCAACTTAAGTTTGCTGGGCTTTGGTTTCCTCATCAGTAAAATAAGGGAATTGGGCTTGACCTTGATCTTGTGGTCCTTTTCAGCTCTAAATCCATGATGCTCCTATGCTGCATACTGATGTTACTATGGTTACAAAACTGAGGGGTGTGCTGGTCAATGTTTAACAACCAGCTCTCAGGGAGGCGAGATTGTGTGCATGCAACACACTTTTACATTTAATCTGCGTTATTAACTTTTTTCCCATCACTTTCTTAAGTCTGGACAATCAACACAAGAGTAAATCAAGCTCTAATTTGTGGCATTTGCCATTTCTGAGATGTAAATGCTCATACTGAAAATCTAACAATCTCACAAGCTGCTATGAGCTTACCCCCTTCTTGACCTTTTAATACTAATAATAATTATAACCAAAACTTACATAGTTCTTTAAGGTTTGCAAAGCACTTTATAGATATGTTATATGATCCTTACAACAACCCTGGGAGTTAGGTGCTATTATTATTTTCATTTTACAGATGAGGAAACTGAGGCATGTCTTTCCACCTCCTGCTTTTCAGGTTCCTTCTGTGTTACCTTTCCCCATTAGATTGTAGGCTCCCCAAGAGCAGGAAATATATACAAATAACCAATATTTGTATCCCCAGTGCTTAGCACAGTGCCTGGCACATAGTATGTACTTAACACATCTTTCTTGACTGACTGACTGAGGCAGACAAAGCTTAAGGGACTTGCCTAGAATCACACAACTAGTAAGTGTTTGGGGGAGGTTTTGAGCTATGCAGGTCTTCCTGACTCGGGAACCAGGACTGTCTCCACTTCCCTGCTGAGCTGATCTCTTCAAGGGCATGGGCTACAGCTTCCATGTCTCTGCCAGGGTGTTCACTAGAGTAGGCACCTAATGATTTTAACTAAGTAAATTTTATTTAATCTTACTTGGGAAAAATTATTTTCTTATGGTTTGGTCAGGGAATGAGCACACAAGACAGAGAGTGAGGTGAAGCTGGAAGTGATGAGAGGAAGAGCAACTCTTGGTATTCACGTTGAGGGTCCACATTCTGAGTTTCCGCCCAGGCCTTCTCCCCAGGATCTCACCTCTGGAGGGGTTCTTCTCCCCTCTTCTCCCTTCTGTGCCAGGGATCTGTCCTTCATCAAGGTGATCAATGTGGGACAGCGGTTCCTGGTGAACCGAGTTCAGGACTACATCCAAAGCAAGATCGTGTACTACCTCATGAATATCCACGTCCAGCCCCGAACCATCTATCTTTGTCGTCACGGAGAGAGTGAGTTCAACCTGTTGGGCAAGATTGGTGGTGACTCTGGTCTCTCGTCCCGAGGAAAGCAGGTGAGCACAGCCGGCAGACCAAGAGGGGTCACGGTCGTTGTCATCATCGTGTTCACCCCCTGGCCTCTCCTGCAACATTGACATTCTTAGTGTTGCTTAGATGGTTTGCAGAACAAGGATGGCGCTAGCCTGCCGTATTGTAGTCTTGTCCTGTGTTTAAGGATATTGGGGGAAGGTCTCACTTCTTCATTCCCAGTCCTGTTGGAAGCCAGGCATCTGTTGTGTATCTTTCTGCATTCTCAGCACTTTAGCAGATGCTCCAATTTAAATCCATTTCTTCTTGGACAGAGCAGTGGCTTTTCAGCTCTTTGATCATGGTCATCTTGGCCATTTCCTCTGCTATTTCCACTTAGAGATGGTCATCTTCTTTTGTTTCCTCCCAGTTTGCTCAAGCACTAAGGAAGTTCCTGGAGGAGCAGGAGATTGTGGACCTCAAAGTGTGGACCAGCCAGCTAAAGAGAACCATCCAGACTGCAGAGTCCCTAGGTGTGACCTATGAGCAGTGGAAGATCCTGAATGAGATTGATGCTGTGAGTAGATAGTTGGTAGGGCTAGTCTGGCTGCAAGTTGCCCAGTGGTTAGAGTGCTGGGCCTGGAGTCAGGAAGACTCACCTTCCTGAGTTCAAATCTGGCCTCAGACACTTACTAGCAGTGTGACCCTGGGCAAATCACTGCACCTTGTTTGCCTCAGTTTTCTCATCTGTAAAATGATCTGGAGAAGGAAATGGCAGATCACCCCAGTGTCTTTGCCAAGAGAACCCCAAATGAGGTCACAAAGAGTTGGACATGATTGAAACAGCTGAATAACAACAATAAAACGGGTTGGTCAATAGCAGGGGAGTACTTCTTTTCCTCCTCTTGCGGGGCAGGAGTCCCACAGAGTTGTAGTGGAGTCTGGTAGCAGAACATGGACTTTTTTTTTCCAAAACTTGCTACCATGGTTCCTGGGCTGAAGCCTAGAATGGAACCTAGAAAAGGCCTTCTGAAGTTATTTTGTTCCATTTGGGTATCCTTCTGTGTAAAAGGAAGTAGATGAAGTCTTGCTTCCTACTTTTGTCAGCTAATTATACCCCAAACCCTCTTTCTGTGTTCAGTGTTAGATTCCCCTTTGGCACTCAGTGTCATTTCTTTCTTTCCCCCTCCCTCTACCCTTTCCCTTTTAAAACATTTCTTATAAATATCTTCTAACCTCTTCAGTTTTCCCTCATTCCTAATCTTTCTCATATTGTATTGTCTTGACCCCCTAAGTTCTTCCTTTAAATTAGGGTCCCGTCCACCCCACACATTAAGGATATCTTCCTGCAGTGGTTATAGAGGTAGAAGTAGAGAAGTGAAATCTGGGAGGTGGGATTTGAATTCAGGCCTTCCTGACTTCAGTCCCTCTCCGTGGGTGTTCGAAGTGTTGTCTTAGTGGCGTGGTTGTGTTCATTTGTGTCTGACTCTTCATGATCCTATCTGGGGTTTTCTTGGTGCAGATACTGAAGAGATTTGCCATTTCCTTCTCCAGCTTATTTTACAGACAAGGAAACTGAGGCAAACAAGGTTAAGTGACTTGCCCAAGGTCACACAGCTAGTGAGTGTCTGAGGCCAGATTTGAGTCTTCCTGACTCCAAGCCTGGCGCTCTATACACTACATCACCTAGCTGCCCTAGTGGCATGGTAGCTTTGCATAATCATGAAAAGGAGGGGCTTATTTCCAGGTCTTCTGGGACCCTCAGCATGTTTTGGCTTTCTGCAGGGTGTGTGCGAAGAGATGACCTATGAAGAGATTGAGAAGCAATACCCAGAAGAGTTTGCCCTTCGGGATCAAGAGAAGTATCTGTATCGCTACCCTGGAGGGGAGGTAAGATGTACTGTTGGAGCTCCCATCTTGGGAGGGGTTGATCCTGCCTCTTCGGGTCTAGGAGAGACTCAAGAAGTTGCTGGATTCACGTTCCTGCTTCTAGGCAGGCGAGTCAGACAGATTGCAGTGGGGTTAGGGGTCAGGGAGGGGGTGGGGGAGGGGGAGAGCCTTTGGGAAAGGAGACTTTGGTTCTTCTTGCTGCCCTGTCTCAGCTGTAGGACCGATGCATGCTGGTAAATAAAGACTAAAACTTCTATAAGCTTATTCTCACCCCTCCCTCTACTCCCATCCAGGGGTATGGTCATAATAAACTGTGTAAAATGGGTTTGGGGTCTTTTCTGCTTGCCCAAGGTAAGTGGTAGTCTCGCTGGCAACTTCAATGTCTTTTTCATCAGAATTTCTGGAAACAAATTGGCATATACTTTCTGGGTACCCAACACCAAGAGAATCAAACTGTAATGGGAAATGATAGCTGATGGCTAGCATTTTTATAGCACCTAAAACTCGCAGTGTGCTTTACAAATATCCTCTCCTTTATTCTTCCTAACAGTCCTGGGAGGTAGGTGTGCCTTTGCATTACAGATTTGAAATCATGTCTTCTCATTATAAATAATAAGAAAAATAATAGTTTGTCATAATAGCTAACACATTAGTAGAGCACTTTAAGGTTTTTAAAGTGCTCTATATATTATCTCATTTTATCCTCACAATAACTGTTGGAGGAAAGTGCTACCCCCACTTACATGTGGGCCGCTAAGTGGCACAGTGGATAGAGCACTGGGCTAGGAACCAGGAAGAATCATCTTCCTGAGTTCAAATCTAACTTCAGACACTTCATAGCTGTGTGACCCTCAGCAAGTCACTTAACCCTGTTTGCCTCAGTTTCCTCATCTGACAAATGGGCTGGAGAAGGAAATGGCAAACCACTCCAGTATCTTTGCCAAGAAAACCCCAAGATGGGGTCATGAAGAGGTGGACCCCACTGAAGTGCCTGAACAACTACAAAACATATGAGGAAACTGAGGCTGAGAGTAGTTAAGTGACTTGCCCAGTGTCACACAGCTAGTAAGTCTGTGAGTCCAGATTTGAACTCAGGTCTTCAAGATTCCACACCCAGCACTCTTTATTGTATCATCCAGCAATACCCTGGGAGACTCTGGCCTCCTTAAAAACCCCACCGCCTCTTGACTGGAACAGAAAAGAAACCAGATTGAGTTCCAGTCCTTTCTCAATGACCTGTGGTTTTTCTCAGTCTGAACCTTGTTCTTGAAAGGTCTGAGCATTCCCAAGAGACACAAGGCTCAGGGTTGGGGGTGAGAAGAGGACTTAGCTGGTGACACTGAGTCTCTGTGCCTGCTGGAATGAAACCAGCTGGGGAAGGAAGAAAAAAAGAGGGATCATTTGACCGAAACTCAGCTGCCAACTTAATTCTGGCTTCCTCCGCCAGTCATACCAGGACCTGGTGCAGCGGCTGGAGCCGGTCATCATGGAGTTAGAGCGCCAGGGCAACGTCCTCGTCATCTCCCACCAGGCTGTCATGCGCTGCCTTCTGGCCTACTTCTTGGACAACAGCGCAGGTGCCAGAGAAAGGCAGAGTGGGGGCGGGATGAGGGAGGGAAAGGGCTTGCCTTTTGATGGTGCCAGAATCCATTGGCACTTTGTCCCTGGTCCTGAGAGCAGATATTTCAGGCTGCTAGAAGGATCCAGCAGCTATTGAACATGCACCTTGGCGTCCCCAGCCCTGCTATTACAAAAGCCCCTATCTGGAGCACCATTCTAGTTTATCAGCCCTCGTTGGCCACCAAGTAGTTTTGGGACACTTGGTGCCTTCTCTCCCTATTGTTATTCTGGTTCCTTGCTGTCCTCCTACATTTTAAGAAGCTATATCTTCTAGCCTTTGAGTTTGCCTATTTAAGGCATGAAACAACACAGAGATCCACATTTCTTTGGACAGAAAGGGCAGGGGAGTTGGAGGCTGCAGGCTGTTGTTTGTGGGTTGGAAGTGGGGAGAGAAGGGGCTACCATATCTGTGCCTCCTTGTTTCCCTAACTTCCTGACTGACAATCATCTCCTAGTCCACTGAAGGCATTCTTCATGTGGGTGTATAAAGGGCCTTCATACAATTCTCCTTTCCCCCAAGCCTTGCCTAAATCCTATGGTCCAGCTCCTTTACCTCCGTTCTCCTTTACTTGGCCTAAGTCATCCCACATTGGCAACTAATCTGTTCTCCACTTCAATCACCTTGTAACTTGGGGTTCAGTGTCCACAGGACAGAATGTAGCCTCTTGGTGGGGATTGCAGAGTTCTGACACCACAAGCAGTGGGTCGTCATAAAAAAACAAAGTAAGTTGAGGTCCTCCGAGCTTCCCCCCCTCTAACCTGACTCCTTCTCCATACTGCCTATGGGCAGTATTATTCAATGAGTCAATCAATAAACATTTATTAAGTGCCTACTATGTGCCACGAACTGGGGATACAAAAGGAGGCAAAAGCCAGTCCTGTTCACTATGTATTTCTGGTTTCAGATGAGCTGCCCTACTTGAGGTGTCCACTCCACACCATCTTCAAACTCACACCTGTGGCCTATGGTAATTATGAGCTTAGGGGCTAAGTTGGGAGGTGGGGAATCGAGGAGAATCAAGATAAGGAGTTTTCTTAACAGTTTGCCAAGAGGTTAACAGATGTTGCCAGGGAAAGATCCTTATGGCCCTTTTAAAAAGTCAACTTCAGTGACACTTGGGCCCTTCTCTTACTGTATTAGCCAGTATCAACTGGAAGAGTGCCATCTGGTCTGGGATGTTTCTCTTCACTAGATCTCGGGGGATCCTCTCCTGTGAACTTTTCATCTAAGAATGTTCCCATTCTTCCTTCTCTTCTCCATCAGGATGCAAAGTGGAAATAATAAGTCTCAATGTGGAAGCTGTGAACACTCACCGAGACAGGCCTGCTGTAAGTATTTCCCAGATGGAATGATCCTCCCAGGCTCCTTTCTGCCACCCTCAGATTGCTGAGCCTTGGGCAGTAGGAGAGCTGGGTGCTAGAGGGCAATGTGATGCTTGCTGCAAAGATTACTGGTGTAGGCTTGTCTTCTGGCTAGTGTGTTCTTTTGCCATGGGAAGAGACACTGAATTATTATTATTATTATTACTTCTCAGTAGTAGTATTGTGACATTTAAAAATAGGGCGCTGGAATTCCAGTTAAAAGTGGAAAACATTTCAATAAAGTGAAGTTGGATCTCTTTTCTGGGAAGGTCCTTCACTTGGCCGATAGGGTGTTCCAGAGGACAATGGGGCAAGGAGTTGGGAGGCTTCAGAACTATCCCTGAGAGCCTGTGAGACCCAAGAGAAGTCTGTCCTCTCTTCTCTCGGAGCCTGTTTCCCCCCTGGGAGATTCTGAGGCCAGATGAGTTATCATCTATGTCTACAGTCCTTTCAGATGCCCAGTGGTGAGAGAAACTGGCTAGATCCTGTTTTGGTGTTAGGTCTCTGGAGGACAGAAACGCAGGTATCAGGGAAGTGGTTTAACCTTTGTGAAGGCGCTCTTGGCTTGGCTTTCATTCCTGTGGTGTCCCTCCATTTCTGATTAGAACAACCTCCCCAAGAACCAAACCCCTGTAAGGATGAGGAGGAACAGCTTTACGCCTCTCTCCAGTTCGGATACAATAAAGCGCCCGAGAAATTACAGTGTTGGGAGCCGGCCCCTCAAGCCCCTCAGCCCTCTTCGTGCCCTGGATGCTCAAGAAGGGGCTGACCAGCCGAAGACCCAAGTCAGCGTTTCCGTGGTGTAACCGTGTGTGTTCTTCCCCAAACCCATTCTCTTTTGCCCTTTTCACTAATCACTTAGGACTTTCTTTAACTTCCACGTCTTCAATTAATCCTAACCCAGAGCATGAGATTGTGTTTCTGAACCAGCCAATTTCAGTCATTCCCAGATCGGGGGTGACACATCGCCCTGCCAAGGTTTCGACCTTAGTCACATTCTAACGGGGTCTCTTGGAACAGGTATTTGGGCATGAGTTTTTGAGGAGAGAAAATAGAGTCCCATGAGAGAGATGATTTGGTGTAGTCAAGATTGGAAGGGACTGATAAGCACTTTCCAAACACCTCTCTTTCTTTCCTCAACCTGTCATCATTAATGTGCTTTGTTTGTGGGTGTGTGGGGGACACACGTGCTGGGCAACCTATTTTCCTTCACCTTCTAAGTCGCTTTGTTACTTTATACTAATGCACTTCCCTCTTCTCCCCTGCCCTTTAGGATCCTCCATTAGACTGTCCCATTTTTGGCCGTAGTGATGCGTGGAACCCATGTGGTACCTGTGGGAGGAACAGAGAGCAGATTGGGGAAGGAAATTTGGGCTGTGGTTGGTGGCTCCACAATGGGGCTTAACCTGAAGGGGCTGCTCCCTTCTCTTGCTCTTTCCACTCAACCCATGCCCAGGGGTCTTCCTGGCCCACCCCTCACCTACGGACCCTTGTTGGAGTATATGAGACATAGCATCCACAACCCTTGGGCCCCCATTTCCTTTCACCAGGAATGATCCCCAGACCTGTTTCACTGGGGGAGAAGCTAGATTTTGTGTATTTGGATTATCCCTTCCTAGGGTTTGCTTTTCAATTCAAAAGAGCTGTTATAAGGGCTGCTGATGTGTGTTGAATGGGGGTGGGTAGATGGTCTGTATTCTGCCCAAGGCTCTTGTAGGGGAGCACATACTGAGAAAGGTCTCTCTTTCCCACTGGCTGCCAGGCTTATTGCCAACAACAACAGCTGCCCTGCCAAAGCCAGTGACCTCTCTGGGCCGATTAGAAGGACAGAGCCAGAGTGAGGAACTATTGGGGATGCTGAGTGTTCCAACTCTTTGAGGAAGCAACATCTGACTCCTTCCCCCGACCTGAAGTAAATCCTGGGATACACAGACAATAACATTCATCAAATGGAATATTTATTTTAATACATGTAATGCATTAGGAAAGTTCTCCCTTCCTCTCCCACCCCTTCCTTTTTTTTTTTTCCTTCAAAATTACAAAGGCCTATTGAAACAGCCTGGTGGTTTTGCTGCCTTTCCTTGGGATCGGATGTCCCATCCACAAGTTAAAAGCCACGCCCATTAGGACTCAATGGGATGCTTAGCGGTATTTGGGCTTCACATTTCCAAGTTTTGTTCTTAGCATCTTCTTGGTTTAGGGCCTCTCCTGTTAGCCCCGAGGAAGCTACTTCTCTACCTGTTGTGTTATATCTGCTTTCTCAGCTTAGTGCTTGCCCTGGTCATATCCTAATTCGGGTCCTTCTGTGCTTCCTGTCTTTATAGCTTCTGAGACTATTTACATAGGATCCCTGGGGCTCCCATTTCCTTTCCCTCTTATTTCCAATCTCTTTCTTTTGGGGAGTAGGTGATCTTGGTGTATTTGGTAAGTGTCTTGGTCTGGGGTTGGTAAAAACACTACTGCTGTCTGTGGGGTGGGGTGAGGAGACAGCCTCTATACCTCCCAGAGCCCTTCTTGGAAGCTTACATAAAAACCTCAGCCAGATCACTTCTGTCCTTCCTTTGAAGAAGGTATTTTTTGGGCCTGGATGGCTCGAACAGATTATTGATAGTCAATTCAGTTTTTCTGTGGTGAGAGGGGCAGCTTCTTGTGTTGGTCACATGGAAAGGCCAATTGGACAGTGAATGCTCAGGCTAAGCAGCCAATTTAGGAGTCCTAGATTCTTTTTGATTTAGATGTTGGTCAATCAACCAACCATCATGCATTTGTCAAGTTCTTGCTATTTGTTGGGCTCTGTGCTAAGCTCTGGGGATACAAAGAAGGGGGAAAAACAGTTCCTGCCCTCAAGGACCTTATATTCTAACGTTGGTCTGAGTGGGTCAAAACTGTAGACTGAATATAGCCTTAGAGAGCCAGTTATTTTGATTGGTTGATATTGGAAGTGTGCAGTGTGGAGGGAGGTTAGGAGACTTTGTTTCTAGTCCCAATTCTTACCTTTATGACCTAAACTCTAGGTCCTAGAATAAAACATAGTACCTCTTAGGGCCTTCACTGACCCCATCAGTGAAATGAAGAGAAGATTCAAGTTCCATTATAAAGGCACTACAGGTATTGAATTCCTTGGATAAATAGCTGGCACTTCTAAGTGTCCAAGTATGTGTGGCAGCCAATTTCTAGACTCAAGCTTGTTTGTGCCCTTGTGAAACACATTCCATTCCAGGCCAGAGTTAAGATAAGCTGGCATTGCTTGTTTAGCCTGCTAACAGTGAGCACTGAGGGCAGAGCCATGGCTGCCAGGTGCTATGGAGAGCTTAAGAACACCCTCTTTTTCCTGTCCATCTTCTCAAGGGTATGTTAAACAACTCTAATTAGAAATGATTGTATACTCACAAAGTGTGCTAAAAGGTGTAAATGAGGATAGTACCAGTGCCAGGCATATGTGCTGGGGGGATATTAAGATATAGGGCAGATAATTCTCCTGCATGCTCCTTCTCCATCACTCCATACCCTACCATACCCTGCACATGTGATAACCACCTTGGCTATGGTACTGAGGTTGTTAGCAGTACCCTGGGGAGAGCTGGGTTTTGTTCCATGTGAGAGGGAGATAGGGAGCGTGGGGGTATATTTGTGACAGCTTAACTCAAATAGATATGGTTTGGGTTTGGCCAGTTTGACAGCTTTGGTGTGGAGAAGTATTTATCCTCATGGCCCTTTGGGGGTAAGAAAACGAAGCAATTAACTGTTGATTAATGTAAGAGAATAAGACTTTTTGCCCTTTTGGAGCCTTTTGATAGAAGAGGAATCAGAGAGACTTGGGCTGTTCCATGTCTTCTCTTTGTTGAGATTAACCTTCTAGAAAGAGAGTAACAACCCCACTGAACCAAGGGGGCTGAACTCTCAGCTCTCCTGGCCTTGGAGCCAGAGCTGAGCTGGCTTTTTATTCCATCCTTCCAGAGTGCCTTCCTAATACAGCCTCTTCCAGGAGGGTTATCTGGGACTCTCTTTTTCTCCTTCCTACCTCTTCCTCCATTTTCTTCTGTATAAATTTCTGAATACTCTGACTCCATTGTTGAAGTCTTGAGAAGCATTAATGAGATGGGAGAAACTTATAGAACCTTCTCTGAAAAAAATGATTGCTGATACTGCCTGAGAGGATTTAGAAAAATGATCTCTCTGTCTCTCTCTCTCTCTCTCTCTCTCTGTCTCTCTCTGTCTTTCTGTTTCTGTCTGTCTCTCTCTCTCTCTCTCCTTTCTTCTCTCTTCTGTCTTCTCTCCTTCCCTCCCTCCCTCCCATCACCCCTCTTCTTCTGATCTATTGTTAAATGAGAAAGAAGAAATGTTTTGTTAGGATTTCCTTTTTTTCCCCTTTTCTTAGCACTTCTCTGTTTTCCCTTTACCCAATTGGAACCTAGTTCCCAAACATTAGCCTTAAATTCTTAGATCTCATTCTTATTGGAAACAGAAAGCACAGAGAACAACTTTTCAGGGCATACAGGAGACTTAAACCATGTAATCTAACCTACGTTCATTAAGCACCTTCTACGTTCGAAGCACTGTGTAAGGCTCTTGTGTTAACAAAACAAAACAAAACGAAACAAAAATACCAGTTCTCCGCCCTCAAGGAGCTTGTAGTCCGTTGCAGGAGTTTACATTCCACTGCGTCAATCTCATTCCCTAAGTCTCCTTATTAGAAGTGGGAGCTGAGGATTAAATGTCTCTGCCCCCTTTCCAGATTAGAAATGCTTTGCATTTTGACTGTGGTTCCAGGGCCCCGATTTGTTGACCTTATTTAGACACTGACATTTTGAAGAGCCACGTGATCCGGATGTTTGGAGATAAATGTGCCTCGTGGCTTCTCTGAAGTTCTCCCAGTCCCAGGGAAGAGTGCCCAGACAAAAGAGAGGTATCTGGATTATGTTGCATTGTGTAGGTTCCGTGGGGCTTTGCCAGGACCAAGAGAAAGGTAGCAAGCCACGTCCTCTATGAATGTTACCAAGATAGCAGTAAACTCACCAGCTTTTCCAGTGCATCTTTTGATATGGTTGGATTTTTAAAAATTTGAAATTTTTTTACAGAACAAGAAAAGTGACTGAGCCGTGTTGCTTAAAATGGTGACTTGTAAACAGTGTCTACACTGTCTTCCTCTCCTCTCCCCCTCCCAACTCTGGGGTAATGATTATACACCAGATGTTTGTACAAGAGGAATGTAACCTAAACTCACTGAGCAGAGGACTGTTCAGCAAAGCATCCTTTGTTTTTTTTTAAAGAAAAAGAATATCACATATCTCTGTGCCTAGCTGGCAGCCCTGTCGTATCTGGTGACATGAACTGATTGTTATTGTGTCTGGGTTGTAATGCCGCTTCCATATTTCATGTGCCCTGTTGAACAGAACAGAGAACTCTGCATTTTCTACTGAAGGGGTGGAAGTGGAGAGTTGTACCCAGTTTAGAAGGGGATTTTTCTTAAGATCTCAATGGCAGCTAAATTTTCATCCATTTTAAAAAGTGAGGATTACATATCAGTTGTACAGTTTGTGCACCCACCAAGGGATTTTGTGGCTGGCTTTAGGGGATGACTGGTGTAGGGCTGATGTTTTATTACCTCCAAAATCCAAGGGCTGGAAAGGGACCTTGAGAGGTCATCTAATCTAATTCCTTGTCTTTAGGCAGGACCACAGGTCAGCATTGATTTCTGACCCTAATTGGTACTCCGAAGCCTAAATCACACGAAGAAATCATCTATTATTTTTAAACTAGTTATGGTGAGCCATTCAATTCTCCTGTACAGAATTTCTGTCACATTGGTGAATATAAATATCTATGTAGGAGGAGATTTTACATTTTCAAGTAGACTTCTTCAAATGGTAGAACCAACCATATGGTTGAATAGGCTCCAGTGATCTATATGGTGTTCACTCACTTGTTAATGGTTTTGTAGCTCACTTTCAGTTGTTAATTTTAGCACCTCAAACCAGGTAACTGGGCCACCCATCCCAGTGCCTTTGGTTTTGCAACTGGGTATGATCACTTGTCCTGTTTTTGATTCTTCTCGGTCTCTAAGGATTATTTAGCAGAATCCTGCTGTTTGGTATCAGTTTTAGGAAAATTTAACACTAATTGTGTTGAATTTGTGTGGATGAAAAAAAAAAAGGTATGCAGAGCTAGTGAGCATTTCATCACTATTGGGAGTGGGGGATGGTGTGGCCAGTGAAATGGCAGCCTAGCTAGGAATGGTCTGCATTGGGAAGGCTCCACAGGCTGGCCATGAATTCAAGAATGCCTCGGCGTAGCTCTCTTGCAAAGAAGGAACATTACCTCAAACAGCACGATGTTTGTTCTGGTGATTGATTTCTTGATACGGCACTTAGATCCGCACGAGGTGTTTAGAACCGTGTTTGAAATATGTGCATGTTTATTTTGTTCTTTTGTCTGTCGAATAGGTAAATAAAACTGTTGCATTCCTTGAAACTCTCTGAAGGCTCCTGTCTTCTTTGTGTTCTGACTTTGCTGCCCTCTGCCAAGGCTGAATTATTTGTTTGATTAAGGACTGAAGTAGGTCAGACACAACTCTCCCACACCACCTCCTGGGGAAGATGAGAAGGTCACCATAGAGGATCCCAAGAGAAACCCCTGGCTGTCCCTGGGAGTTTCCATGTGTTCGGTGTGCCAACCCTGCCACTTCTACCCCGAAAAAGAATCATCAGTAACAAGAACAGAGAAGAACACAAGATCTTGAGCAAAAATGCACCGTGAAGCTGAGTAGCCGTGTATAACCCTCATTATTTGTAAATTTGGAGTAACAGAGGGAGTCATTCTAACTAAAACGTGGCCTCTTTCACAAAAGATAAGGGACAATGGCATCAGACTTCACTTTTGTCTCACTGACTTCTTCTGAGGCAGGCAGTGCCAGGGGGATAATTGCTCTGTGCTGGCTGGTCAGATGTATTGAATGAAAGCAAGCAATAAGAACCCTCCAGAGCCAGAGGAAGCATCTTGGGAGAAGAACCCTCATTACTGATCCTCCTTAAAGGTCTTAGAGTGGGCCAGACCTTGTGGGCAGTGAGCTATCTGACTGACTGCTCTGGTATGGTTTCCTCCTTGCTAATGACAGCTAGTTTTGTTGTTGGTTTTTTGTTTTGTTTTGTTTTTTTACTGAGATCCCTAAACCTCACTCCATAGGCCATCACAAATTAAGGAAGATGTCCCAATGTAAGGATTGGAGAAGTTTAATAGTTTATCAGAAAAGAGGAAAAACAGTAGGCTTATTAAATACTTTCCCTGCTCTTGTTAAAAGGTCATAATTTTGCTGTTTTGATTAGAACCTGGCTCTGGGAAATGAGAGAGAGAGAGAGAGAGAGAGAGAGAGAGAGAGCGCAGATGAATGTATGTGTGAGGAGGAGACAGTGAGGTGGGGGTCTCCTTTTCCTTTCTTCTGCCGTGGTAGTAATCACTTTTTTTTTTCTTTCTTGCTCTCTGGCTCTCCTAGGCAAAAATGGGGCTGGCCATGTGAAGGGACTCTACCCCAGAGCCCCTCAAGATGCCCGGCTCTGGATAAGGAGGCCAGGGCCAGACATCTCCAGGAGACGCAGCCAGATCTACTGTTCACTGCCAAGCTTGGGACTTCGGCGCTGCAGGGGCTAGAGCAGGAAGCTAAGTGGGGGCAGCTGGGCTTTGGGGACCATTCAGAAGAGGCCTGGAAAACAAATGGCAAATATAACTACATTTTCTCTCCAATGAATACCGTGAATATCATCCAGGCTGGGAAATTCAGAGCCTCAGTGTATCTCAGGCTCCTTGATGGTCTGGCTCAGCTTATCTGAATGGAAGCTTCACTTTGTTTTCAACTCTCTCTTTGCTGGATTTAGCCTGCATGGATTATTCTGGCTTTTATTTAAACATTCCATGCCGTACCTGTGTCTGCCTGTACCTTTAGCTGACTGCTTTGTCTCTGGGCACTAACGCAACTGTCTGCATTTCGTTGTTACCTGGTGAGGCGACTGATCTCTACAAAGACTAGAGCTCAGCCTGGGCCCCTTGTCACCCACCGTCCCTTTCAGGCAGTCAGCTCTGAAGCCCAGGCCCCATTTTCACCTTTGCAGGACACTTCTGCCCTCTTGAGAACAAGAAAGGGAAGAGGTCTGGGGATGCACTCAGTCTCTTTGGTGGAATGGTCGCCACCATTTCAAAGGAAGTCCTTTGCTTTGAAACCATTTTTCTTGATTTTAGGTTCTTGGTCCAGACTCCTTAAGGGCAGAATTTTCTGAAAGGCCCTCCCAGATAAGTCCACGCTTGCTCCTGATTTCTCCCTTGTAGTTACTATCCTTTCCAATACTGGATTTTTTTTCTCTACCTAATGCTGTGTGCCTCTCCTAGCTGGAGGAGAGTACAGTTCCAGTTGGGAAGAAGATTAACATCCTATTCACTTCCTTTTGGCAATGAATAAAAGTTTTTTAGGAAATAACTTTATCTGAAATTTCTCTGCACTTCAAACTATCAGACCCTCAGTAGCAGGGTCTGTCTCAGGGCCTTGTGGTCTCCAAGGAGGCTGTGACCAACTAAGGAAGCTGTCACCAAGGCACCAAGAGAGCAGCTTGGCCTGCCAACCCTCCCACAGTTGGCCTGGCCCCCGGCTCTAGGGGTCCATCCAGCTCCTTTTGTCAGACAGAGCTTGTAGGGGCAAGGGGAGAGCAGATGCACTCAGGACTTGGGAGCTGGCTCCCTTTGGTTTCTCTTAAAGGCTATAGGGCTCTTGCCCTACGACTCTACACTTGACTGTACCAGAATAAAGGGGTACAGGTTACCCCACGTGGCGGTCAGAACTTCTAAGGCGAACCTGGCTAGTCTTATAAGGATAATGTGCTTTTAAAATTTTTGTCTTTGTTTATAATTTTAAAAAAATCACTGAGATGAGCATGTCATGGGGATGGAGGTGAGTGAAGAAAAGGGGATCTTGGAGGGAAGAAAGACAAATAATTAAGAAGGGAACTTTTCCCTTGTGATCCTACATGGGAGATACATGGTTCTTAATTACTTAACATGTGAAGGGCTGAGCTGCAGGCAGTTCAACCTCCAGTGATTAGGGGCTACACATATACCCTTGCATCCAGATAGCCCTTCAACTTTCCCTGGAACAAGTGATTTTTTTTTTAACCTGGCTACTGGAAGCCAATACTTGGAAAATTCTCTCATTCTCTCTGCCTCTTTGTATACATTCTGCTGTTGTCTTCATGTTGATTTATAGCTTTGTTTCATCCTTGCAGGGCATTTGGATTTGCCACACAAATAATGAATTCTTCTGTATTAGATGTCTTCAAGCAAACCACTCGTGGTGTGTTTTTTACCTTGCTTAGGTAGGGTGTGGACCAGATGGCCTCTGAGAGTCCTTCCAACTTTGATATTCTGTGGGGGTCAGTTTTTCCAGCAAAGATTTTTTTTGTAAAGTGAATTTACCTTATGTGAATCCTTTTTTTCCTCTATTGAGTTTCTTTTATAAAATCATTTTCTAAGGAAAAAAAGTTTTAGCTCCCAGAAGTCATAAAATGCCTCAGAATGTAACAAATCCTTTAAATTGTGCACTCAGGAAAAAAAAATTACAAATTCCAGTCAAAGCAATAAGATACAAAACATTTAATAATACTGTTCAGAGGATTAATAATTTAAAACTGCCTATTTTATGAACAATGAATTAGTAGACTATACTTATGTTTCCAATCTATCCAACTCATTGAGGACCAGTGCCTAGTATAGGGCCTTACACATACATAGTGAGCAACTTTAATAAAAAGTTGTTAGATCAAATCATTAGCACTTCAAAAATGGTATTTATGTCTGTGTGACCTTGGAACAATTCACTCGTCTGAGCCTAAATTTCTTCATCTGTAAAATGTGGGGATTGGACTAATTGATTGGAGGGCCTTTCCAGCTTTAAATGGATGATCTAATAATCCTAAAGTTCTTCTCAGCTTCAAATTGATGATCTGTGACCCTAAGTTTGCTGAATTGATTGCTGAACATTAATCTGCTGTTATTGCACCTTGGTAGAAAGTACAGAAAATACCAATGACATCACTAATTCAGAACAAAAAAATCAATGGGTCAATTTGAGCTCCACTGTATGCATCAAACGGTTCCTGGAACCCTTTAACTGAATGTGGTAATAGAAACAACAATAAGATTAGCTTTTATCTTCTTGTTAGAGGGAATTTCTGATTCAGTGAACAAATTTATGAAGCTGAGAATTGTTAGGTTAAGTGAGTAGGGGGCATGTGTATAAATAAGCCCTGGTAAATATGGTTATCATCAATATCAAGACTAGCACTGTTGTGATGCTCTGAGAGGTTATGAAAATTTCACGCTGCTTTCTGGGGTATTTTTGCGTTCAGTCTCCTGACTAAAAAGGGATAAATGGGATCATTCTTCCTTCCCATTTCACAGTGCTCCCTGAGAGCAGAGACTGTTTCCTTTCAGTCTCTGTATTTCCAGCACCTAGCATGCGATAGGCACTCAGATGTTGAATATATGGAGTTTGAATGGCTGAGACCTTTAGAGATTGTGACACGCCCAAGGTCACAAAGTAAATCCTCCATAGAGCCAGAATGAAAGTCTCTACCACATTGCAGAGTGTATGTTAAGGACTGTGATTGTAAACAGCCCTCCTAACCACAGCTAATAGCCTTATTAGGAGCTAGGCCAAAAGCTGGTGGTCCAAAGCATTCTTCAGTGTTAGGTGAAGGTTATTATTACCCCTTTAGCCATTCTTAGTTCTAACTCACAAATGACAGGTGAGATCAGCATTTTTTTTCTCACCAGGTAAACTCCCTGGGTGGCCCAAACCTCCCTCCTGGTGGTAATCATCAACATGTGCCCAGGCTAACCCATTCCCCACTCCTACTCCAACATACACACTTGGTAGCCCTAGGGTGTTGCTTGTCATCCTGCTAGGGTTTTTTGTTGTTTTTTTCAAGTGAACTGGAAGGGATTTTAGAGATCATCTAGTCCAGTACCCTCCTACTTAATATAAGAGGAAAAAATGGCCCAAAGAGGGGAAAATGACTTGGAATGGACTGTAATTATTTGGAATATAAAGGGAAAAAAAAGAAACATACGTGGTTCACTTAATATCAGTTCTGCTTTTTTTAAGTAAAAGAGGCACTTATTTTAACGTTAAAATGTTCAGTTTTGTAGTGGAGATAATATAGAAGATGAGAATGAGGGAAGGAAGGAGGAAGAGAGCAGGTCCTTTAAAGGTAACTGCGTTAGCACAAAGAATAGAGCTTCCTATTTCCATGGTGTAGATTTCTTTATTTAAAAAAAGTTCAAGGCACTTTTTTCCCTTCACCCCATTTTCCTGATTTTTTCCCTTCTTTCCCTTACCCCATTTTCCTGAATTTTCCTTCCTTTCCTCACCCCATTTTCCTGATTTTTCTTCCTTCCCTCACCCCATTTTCCAAATGGAGCATGAAAAACTTCTCTTGCAACCCTGGCAGCACTTTATATATTATTAAGAATGAAAGAGTACTTGGCAATATGATTTTCTTTTCTTTTTGTCTATGTTTTGTTTTGGTTCAAGCCGTCAGTAAAGAAAACATAGGTCAGACTTTAACAGCACCTTGAAGGTAACTGGCTGAGGTGTAGGAACTCTGTTCGGCCCCTAGGAGGAATCAGTGTTTTCTCCATCAGGAGACTTGTGGTCTAGTTCTGGTGCTGGCCAGGTCTAAAAGAGCTTCTATCTAATCTACTTCCAGATTCCAAAGAGTAGCATATTCCGCCAGGTGAGCCTTCTACAATCAGCTTAACCTGCTAGGGTGTTCCTCCTCTGTTACTGCCATTTTAGAATCCCCATACAATGGAAGGAAAGGAAGCTGGACATTCCTGAGGCATTATTGACTATGATTTGTTAAATATTATTTTATATATGTGCTTCCCAGAATCACTTCTGGCACCAGTTAATTGCTTTTTTTTCTCATTGATTTCTGGGTAACGCTAGACTTTGAAGCCAGCCTGGAGTATATATAATATGGTGAATGTGATAGGGGGAAGGGGAGGGTGGGAGTTGTCTTTGTGGGGTGGTCTTAGATTTGGGAGTGGGTGGGAGAGGAAGGAAAAGTACTTTCAGCTATAGAGTCTGACAGTGTCTTATTTTAGGGTGATATGGGGATGGAGAAATGGCATATGCTTTGAGTTACTACGCAAGGGAAGCTTGTATTATTCTTGAAGAATGGTTTGAATTTTCTTATTTGTGTTTATACCTAAGAAAATATATAACCAAACTGATCTCTTCTTTCTGAATGTACTGCACAGAAGCCATTGCAATGAGGCTTATTTGCAATAAAGCATTTTCTGAAATTCTTTACTGTCTTTATGTCTGTGACTTTATAGGAGGTGAAGTTTTAACTCAACTCTCTTCTCTAATTCATTGGACAAGTATTGAGCATCTATCTACTTAGCCCATTCCACTGTGCTAGAAAAGAATGAGAAATACACAGAACTGTAATTGAGGAGCTTTACAAATGGTTAGGTAGTTGGGACATACGCACACAAAAAGTTAAAGACTATAACAATGTAAGGGCTTTATAAGACATTGTAAATATTTAAGTGCCACAGGGATGTTACATGCACAGCCTGTGTTCCTCCACCAATTTTATTAAAGGCACTCTTTTTCAAGAGTCACTCTTTGTTCCCTAAAGTATTGTGATCAAATATCTCCACCAAGTCTGTTAAAAGTCAATGCTGCCTTTGACTCAGGGTCTTTTCAGCAATGGACCAAAGGATAACTTTGAATGACCCGATTATTTTGTTTAGAGGTATTAAATGGAGTCTTGCAAGCACATGAACTTTCAGGAAAATTTCTAGGTCAATACATTCTATCAAAATGGCCTCCACAAATTGAGAACATAACTTTTAAAAATTAGATTTTATTTTTCCCAATTCCATGTAAAAACAATTTTAATGTTATTTTTTTAATTAAAAATTTGAGTTCCAAATTTTATCTCTTCCCCTCCCTGAGACAGTAAGCAATCTGATATAAGTTATGCATTTCAATCCTGTAAAACATTTCCATATTAGTTATTTTGTGCAAGAAGACCTGAGAAAGAAAGAAGGAAGAAGAAAGAAAAAAAGAAAGAAAGAAAAAGAGAAAAGTACTAGATTTCAGTCTATATTCAGATAGGCAATCAGTTCCTTCTTTGGAGGGGGATAGCATTTTTCATCATGAGTCGTTTGGGATTGTCTTGGATCACTGTATTACTGAGAAGAGCTAAGTCATTCACGGGAGAACATATTTTCTAACAGTTATTCTAAATGTCAGCATTCCTGTAAATAGGATAAAATTGAATTATTGCTGCTGATCCTAATTGGGGCTACCTAGGCATGTGGATTTATCAACTCCTAATAGAAACCACTCCTTGGTTTTGCCAGGAAGGGCCCAAAGGAAGTGATGAACAGGATATTTATCTGCCAGTGGGCTGCCGGGGGTGGAGGGGGTCCCTCAATAAGAAGACAAAGAGTAATATTGATTCTTAATTCTCTGCCTTCTTGGAGAAGGTAAAGAGAAAGCAGGGCTCTTAGAAAATGTCTGTGGTATTGAGTTCATAATTAATATTTAATAATTATCAATAACACAATAAAACAACTAATACAAAATGAGTGACCAATAATCTTTCCTTTGGTCACCTAGGTAATTCTAGCATACGAGAGTAGAAAATGGATTAGTTGGATGTCTGATATTTATAATAAATATAAGGGCTACAGGGGAGAACTGATTTATTTCAACCCTCAACATGCATATTATCTCTTGTGTCCATTTTTCACAATCTTTACCTTTATTAGTAACAGTTTAAAAATTAATCAAATTCTTTTTTTTTTTTGACAGTTGGGGTTAAGTGACTTGCCCAGGGTCACACAGCTAGTAAGGGTCAAGTGTTTGGTCTGAGTTCAGATTTGAACTCAGGTCCTCCTGACTTCAGGGCCAGTGCTCTATCCACTGCGCCACCTAGCTGCCCCCCAAAATTAATCAAATTCTAAGAGGTACTGCAAGTCATAGATTTCTTTTTATTATGTTCCATAGAGAAATGGTATCCCAAAGAGAGACTACTTTGTTTGATCCTGTGTATAGGTCAGGCATTAATTTGGAATAACCAATCTATCATTCAAAATTCCAGGTACACAGGACCTATGCACAGGCACAAAGGAAGGATTTGGGATGCAAAGCACAGAGAACAGGAAGTAGGGTGGCTTGGCCCAAAGGGAGATTATGTGAAGACAAATAATGTGAAATAAGAAGGTAGGTCGAAGCCAGGACCATGAAGAATTTCGAATGCCAAGCTTTGGAGTTTGTATTTTATAGACATTAGGGAGCCACAAAGATTCTTTAGCAAGTGACATGGTGAGATCTGAGCTCTAGAGAATTTTTTTTTTAGCAACTATGTGAAGTAGTTGCTTAAAAAAAATGGCATCCATATAGCCAAAATTATTTTGCAAAGATGTTTCATTCTTCACTCATGTCCAAGTCTTCATGACTTCATTTAGGGTTTTCTTGGCAAAGATATTAGAGTGGTTTGCCATTTCCTTCTCCAGCTCATTTTACAGATGAGGAAACTGAGGCAAACAGGGTAAAGTGACTTGCCCAAGGTCACAAAGCTAATAAGTATCTGAAGCCAAATTTGAACTCAGTTCTTCTTGACTCCAGGCTCAGCACTCTATGTTATATACCACCTAGTTGTCCCTCGATGCAGATACTCCTCTCTTTTCCAACTACTTATCTGTGTGAAGCCAGATTCAATTCATATACTTGAACCAAAACAACATATCCCAACAGATTGAATGAAGTATATGAGAGAGAATCCAACTGTCTTTTATTAAGCTAGACATTAAACAGATTTGCAAATATATTTAAAACAATACCACTCTTCTGACTAATTTTTTTGTTTTAGAAAATATAGGTTTTTTTAAAGCAAAATATGTTAACACAATGGGGCTTTATTGTTATTTTTAAAAAATTAATAAATATTTTAAAATTTTATCCATTTTAATTTCTAATGTGGTAAATATTGATAGATATGACCCTAAATAAACAAAAACCCTATGGTGTCCTCAATAATTTGTAAGAGTGTAAGGGGGCCTGAGATCGAAAAGTTTGAGAATTGTTGATGTGAAAGATGAACTGAAGAGGAGGAAACCAAAAGCAGAAAGACCAGTTAGGAGGCTATTGCAATAGTCCAGACAACATGTGGTGATGGCCTGAACTGGAGCGGTGACTGTGAATGGAGAAATGAAGATGGATGGCAGAGAGGTTGTTAATGAAAAAGTATTTATTAAGTACCTACTATGTGCAAAGGACTTTTCTAAGCACCAGGAATAGAAGTAGAAAAGTAAGATAATCTCTCCCCTCAAAGAGCTCATATTCTAATAGGGCAAGATATCATATTTAGGAGATTTCAGTTGAAAGCAAGAAGGAAAGACTCAGTGGTCTTAGGGTATTAGGTTGGCAATGCATCTCTTTTAATGCCATTACCATTAATAAAACCATATTTTCCCCTTTTTTTGGTTGCCATTTTGCACATGTGCTTACTTTTTTTTTATCCTGAACTTAAAAAACAGCGAATAAAATGAGCATTTCCATACACTCAGTAGAACAAAGAAGGGGAACAGTTCACAAAAATGAAGCTCTATTGTATACAACTTGCTTTTCTTTTTAAGTGGATAAGTTCAACCTGTAGCTTTCATAGCCATCCTACTCATCTGTGCGTCTTTTTGGCTATCCTCACCTCTCTATCTCTGCAATCTTTTAAAAATGCTTCAATTACTTCTTTTCTTTCTTTCTTTCCTTTTTTTCTTACTCTATCCCTAGTTCTCCTATCCCTCCCACCTCTCTCCACTGGGGAAAAAAAAGAAAAAAAAAAGCCTTTATAACAAACAGGCACAATCGAACAAAACAAATTCTCACATAGGTTGTATCCAAAAATATATATCTTATCTAGCATTTTGATTCCATCTCCTCTCTGTCAAGAGGTGGGTAACATGCTTCATCCTTGGTCCTCAGGGACTGTGGTTGGTCATTGCATTGATCAGAGTTGTCAGGTCTTTCAAAGTTGTTTTTCTTTATAATGCTGTTGATGCTATATGAATTATTCTCTGTCTTCTCCCTTCACTACGTCATTCATGCAGGTCTTCCCAGGTTTCTCTGAAACCATCCCCTTTGTCATTTCTTATGGCATAAAAATAGTCTATTACAGTCACCTACCATAATTTATTTAACCATCTCCCAGCATATGGGCACCAATGGGGAGGGAACTCACAAGACTGATATTGAGTTGGATATGGGGAGGGGAGAATGACTCCAAGTTTGCAAACCTGGGATATTAGAAGAATTGTGGTGCCCTCAAAAGAAATGGGAAAGTTTTGAGGAGGAATGGGTTGGGGGGGGAAGATAATGAGTTTTGTTTTGGATGTATTGAGTTAAAGATGACTATCAGACACAGATATCCAGTTGGAGATGTCCAGCACACAGTTAGTAATACAGGATTGAAGCTCAGGAAAGAGCTTAGGACTGGATATACAATTTGGGAATCATCTGCCTAGAGAGAATAATTGAATCCAAGGGAACTTTCAAGATCATCAAGAGGAGGGTGTAGACCAGGGGTTCTAAACTTTTTTTTTGTATCACAGATTCCTTTGGCAGTCTGATGAAGCCTATGGACCCCTGTTCAGAATGTTTTCAAATGTACAAAATGAAACACATAAGATTACAAAGAAAACCAATCATATGGGAATATTTTACTGAAATCAAAATACTAAAAAAATAAGTTTGTCATCCCTAGGTTAAAAGCTCTTTCTATAGAGAGAGCAGAGAAGACCCAGGACAGAACTCTGGGGAACAACTGTGGTTAAAGGGTAAGATGAGAGGATGCTCCAACAAAGAAGACTGAGACAGAGTGGTCAAGCAGGCAGAAGGAGATGTCCAAAAAGACACTCTTCATATTGTCCTCCCCACCCCCACCCCCAAACTATAGCTTCTCCAAACTTTCCCCATT